TTTGAACCCACCACCTCCAATATATGGGGCCCCTATTCCTTTAAGCCACAGGCACCACCCCTAGCAGCACTTCTAAGAATCAGCAGGTCTTTGAGGTTCTTCCACCCCACCTCCTCCAGGTTTGCCAAGGGTCAGATTGACCACAGCTTATTTTAGGGTATTCATGGTCAAAATCGATTGGCTATGGGCCATTAGCAAGATTTAGTCAAAAGTTCTCAGAAATTGTTATATTATTAGCCCTGTGTTTGGGTTTTTGGAAGAGAGAGAAATTATGAGAAGGAATGCAATAAATTACCCTAATACTGATACAACTGGCCAGTAGCTTTCACTCAAGGCAAAGGGAAATGCTTCCCTGCCCTACAGTTTATTATCTGTGTGTTTTCAGTTTTCATGGAAAATCAGTTACCCCAGTGTCTACTACACAGTTATTATCTCCCAACTCTATTTTTGCTTATTTGTAACAATATTGTGTATAAATAAAATTTAAAAAAGACAAACTTCCTGTTGTATCCATTTCTCCATTCACTGTTATTTGAACAAAGATTGATATAGTGAATTTAAATTTTCAAGAATATTGTAACTAGAAGACCTCTAGATTAGTACTACCCAACTGAAATATATAGAGCCACATGTGTAATTTTTTTTTTCTAAGAGAGACAAGAGCCTCACTCTGTCACCCAGGCTGGAGTGCAGTGGCCTAATTATAGCTCACTGCAGTCTCGAACTCCTGAGCTCAAGAGATCCTCCCACCTCAGCTTCCCAAGTAGCTAGGACTACAGGCACATGCTACTGCACCCAGCTACTTTTTAAATTTTTTTGTAGAGATGGAGTCTGACAGTGTTGCCCAGGCTGCACTTGAACTCCTGGTCTTAAGCACTCCTTCCTCCTCAGCCTCCCAAAGAGCTGGGATTACAAATGTGAACCAACCCACCCAGCTCCACATATGTTGATTTTTAATTTTTTAGTAGCCACATCAATAAAAGTGAAATGAAACCAGTGGTAATAATTTAAGATATTATTATTGAACCTACTACATTATTTCAATACATAATTGATATAAAGTATTAATGCGGTATTTTATAAGTTGTTGAAATTGGTGTGTATTTTGCACTTACAGCACAGCTCAATTCAGACTGGCCATATTTCAAGCACTCAGTAACCACATGTGGCCAGTGGCTACTGTGTCGAGCAGAGCAACTGTAGAGATAAATGTTAATAATTTGTGAATTGTATCACAAAGAATAGGTCAGACAGGATGGAAATCTTAAATTATTTTGAGGAAGGTAAGAACAAGACTAAGCAGTTCTTATGAAGTACACATCCTTATGTTAGAAAATTGTAATTATCTTCTACACAATGAATCAACATAAGAAATGTTATCCAAGCTTGGCGCCTGTGGCTCAAGCGGCTAAGGCGCCAGCCACTTACACCTGAGCTGGCGGATTCAAATCCAGCCTGGGCTCACCAAACAACAATGACGGCTGCAACCAAAAAATAGCCAGGCACTGTGGGGGCGCCTGTAGTCCCAGCTACTTGGGAGGTGGAGGCAGGAGAATCACTTGAGCCCAGGAGTTGGAGGTTGCTGTGAGCTGTGATGCCACGGCACTCTACCCCAGGCGAAGGCTTGAGGCTTTGTCTCAAAAAAAAAAAAAAGAAATGTTATCCATTAGGAAATATTGGCTTGTGTTACATGCCCTTATATGACCTGACTTTAAATGTTTCACTTCTATCACTGGTAATTTGGGAAGGTATTTCACTTGACTAAATACTACAGGTACCAATATAAAATGTCCTATTGTATAAAGGGTCTGGTTGGCAGCCTGAAGAATATTCTGGTCCCAGTGGTGCTGAGGACACAGCCTGGTGTTGGAACATGTGAGGCCTTCCCTGCAATGGTGCCCAGTTCACAATGCTGACCTATCCATGAAGGGATTCCCTATTGACCTGAGTTTCACATTCCACTTTTTGCCACCTTTAAAAATATTTTTTTTTATTAAATGATAGCTGTGTACATTAATGCAATCATGGGGTACAGTGTGGTGTTTTCATATACAATTTGAAATATTTTCATCAAACTGGTTAACATAGCATTCATGTCATTTTCTTAGTTATTAAGACATTCATACTCTGCTTTTAGAAAGATTCACTTGTACCCTTGTAAGATAAACCATAGAGGTGACCCCAACAATCACCCTCCCTCCACCCATCCACCCACCTCCCCTCTCCTCTCACTCCCCCCTCCCCATATTCTAAGGCTATAATTAGGTTATAGCTTTCCTATGAAAGTCCTAAAGTTACCATGATCCCTAACGGGCCAACATGGACTTCTCTCAAGACAATTTGTACTCCTCATTGGTCCTTTAGTCCAGGTTTTGGCTGCCTAACTTGAAGTGAAAGTAGAAAAAAGAAATGATGGTAAGGAAGAAATGTGTCTCTGCTGTGTTCATTTCTCACTGGTCCTCATAAGGAATATAATGTAACCGTGTTTTCTCTACTGGAGAGAAGAGTCATTCTTATCTGGTTAGAAAATCAAACTTGCCCTGGAGACGAGTGTGTCCAGATCTGCGGGTATCAGACCTTTTCAGATGTGCTGGCCTTTACTATATAGTATATATAATTTCTGTTTGGTCCTAAATCATAGCCTCATTGGACCCTTGGGACCTTAGAATATTCTCATATACTTCTCCAGTTAGTGCCCATGCCCTGCAGTCAGGTCAAGTTCACAGTCATAGATGCCAATGGAAAGAAAACCTTGCGTCTGCTCCTACTTTGAACTGCCCAGGACTTTCTTAAAACCAATCCCCAAAGTGAGCGTCTTGTGCTGCCCGCATACCTAAAAGCCTGGCTGCTTCTTGGACTTTTGCCACACTCAAGTTGGATCAGGCTTTTTTTTTTTTTTTTTTTTTTTTTTTGAGACAGAGCCTCAAGCTGTCCCCCTGGGCAGAGTGCCGTGGCATTACAGCTCACAGCAACCTCCAGCTCCTGGGCTCAAGCGAGTCTCCTGCCTCCGCCTCCCAAGTAGCTGGGACCACAGGCGCCCACCACAACGCCCGGCTATTTTTTGGTTGCAGCCGTCATTGTTTGGCGGGTCCGGGCTGGGGATTCGAACCCGCCACCTTAGGTGTACGTGGCTGGCGCCTTAGCCGGTTGAGCTATAGGCGCCGAGCCGGATCAGGCTTTTTTAGGTCAAGTGCATTTTAACTACTATAACCAATTCATGTTTTATAGGCCATAAAGTTGTTATAGAGCAGGCAGAGAGAATATTGCAAAAGCTTTAAAAATCTGTGGCAAACTCATACCATGTGGTAGGGGTTATGCTGATAGACTGTTCATTTCCTACACGTCTCATACCATTCCTTCTCGTTGACTCAGAGTTAGTTCCTTTATATTCATAAATTTAACATTTGCATCATAACTTTGCACTATTTGCCATGAATATAAACTGTGTAGAAAAAGTATGTTGAGGGATACAGACTTGATTGATTCTTTATATCTTAAAAACATTGGTACCAGTTGTTTGATGATCTTTATTCTAGAGTCAAACCAAATACTATTGAAAAGTGATCATTAATATTCTTGTTTGTCATATTGTAACCTTTCAAATATAAGTTTCACTGTTCTATTTTTCTAACAAACCCCATCAGCATGGCATTTGGTGAGAAAGTAACCAAGATAAAGCAACTTTATTAATCACATTCTTTATCACAAGGCATTTTGTTGCTATAAACCCAGAATCTCATTATTATGGGAGGAAAAGTTGATCTTGCCTCACAAATGAAGTTTGGAACTTTGAGGGTTTCACGAAGATAGCTTCTGAAAGCTTAGTTTTCATGTAGGTCTTTTTTGGACCCAATGAGATCATATTCAAAGGCTATGCCCTTTTGACTTTGCAGATAGCCTCCTCTTATGCCCTGTTCTAAACACAAACAACCACATTGCTCATAAGTTTTCTCATAAGTTAGCTCTTAATGCTTGTCATTTAATTGTATAATTTCACTGCCATAACTTTACTTTTGGAGTATTGTACAGTTAACCAAACATACTCTCTAATGGTATAACTTGATGTATGTCGCAAATGGAATGTCAGTTTTTAAGAAGAAATGTATTGTGTTGTATTGTGTTGTGGTGAAAGGTTAAATTTTCAATCGGCCATAGGTGTTAATACAGTCATCTGCCATCTAACAGTGGGAATACATTCTGAGAAACTCATCTTCAGGCAGTTTCATCATTGCTGGAACTCCTAGAGCACCCCCGTACAAAGCTAGATGGGGCCTCCCACTAAACACCCAAGCTATGCGGGTAGCCTAGTGTTCTAGCCACTCTCATGTGTGCAGTCCAGGAAATGTCATTATGTGGCACAAAACTGTATCTTAGTTTGCTTTTCTTACAATATTAGAAAATAATTGTCCAGGCAACCCTCTTCTTGAAGGCGGTGTGCAGCTAAAATGTAAAGTTGTCCACATTAGTTCAATAGATTCTAGACAGAATTTTTGTGGAATTATGATGGAATATTTACAATCTAAAATAATGGGGGTTTTTTTCCGAAATTCCATTGAGAATTCCCTAGGGTCCTTTTGAAGTCCATAAGGACCACTTGTGATGCTTGTTAAAATCATAGATTCCTCGTGCCGTGACTGCTGAGCCTTTAATTTAGTAAATCTGGATAATCTGCATATATGAGTCATTCCAGGTGGTCGTGCTCTTGAGCCAACAGATGCAGTGCTTCTCAAACGGCAGTGTGTGTGAATTGCACTGGCATATGACCAAAATACAGATTAAAGCTCAGTAGGTTGAAGGCAGAGCCTGAGACTATGCATTTCTAACAGACCCCTCTCCACCCCCCACCCCATGCATAATCAATTTGCCATCTTTTTGTTATTGACTATAAATATTTGGGATAGATTTTCACCTCCTTTCATCCTTCTGTTTGTTAGAATTTCAAAACACTTGTCTACCTTGCTTATCTTGTCCTTTGTGTTTATTTTCTTTAATGCACGTAGATGGACACCAGTTGCATCTTGAAAGGCCATCGACTGTAACCAAAATTCCAGATCCCAAGAAGACATCCAGGCGTTCCCCAGAACTGAAGACCATGGAGCTCTCTGACAGCGACCGACCTGTCAGCTTCGGCTCCACATCGTCCTCAGCCTCCTCCCGAGACAGCCATGGCTCCTTTGGCAGCAGAATGACCTTAGTTTCAAATAGCCACTTGGGTTTGTTTAACCAGGATAAGGAAGCAGGGGCCATAAAACTGGAGCTGATGCCAGCCAGGCAGTTCTCCAGCAGTGACCTGCAAAGGGACAACCCCACTGGGCACCAGAACACGAACGAGGGCAGCGACAGGCAGTCCAGGACCCAGAGGAGGACAGACACCAGCGGGTCACCCAAGACAGCTGCTGACTCGGCCCCCAGCCCCAAGCTCCTCTATGTGGACAGAGTGGTCCAGGAAATTCTGGAGACTGAGAGGACTTATGTGCAAGATCTGAAAAGCATCGTGGAGGTAAGTGTCCAACTCTGCTTTCAACATTTGTCATGCAGGAGAAATATGCTGGTAAAATAAAGAACTAGGTGGTGGGGACCTGTAGGTCTCTTAAGATGCAGAAAGGGTGTGAAAGTTTAAAGAGATCTCAACTTAGGGAAACCCAAGAGCCATACTCACTGGGTTAAAATCCTCTTAATATTTCAGTGAACACATCCATCCTGTGTTAGCGGCAAGAATGAGGACACAGTTTTTGTGGTTGACTACGTATGTATATGTATATATTTGGGGTAGATTTTCTTTCAACCTTCTGTTTGATAGAATTGCACCCTGGTGCGTGGACCAGCGTGTTGTGTTGATAAATCCTACCCCACAGCTCTCAGGGTGCCCGACACTTAGTGCAGCAGAAGAGGACCTCAAGTGCGTGGGTACCAGGTGTGTCTGACTCAACCCAGCAGCTGTCTTTGCCTTAATCACCACAGTCTACTAAACTAGAGGCTGGGAGCTTCCAAAACCACAGACACCTGGGTCGCATGCTCAGGGGTTTCATTGGCCTGGGATGTGACGTGGGCAGTGGAGTTGTTCAAGTTGGAGCTGACTTATCAACGAGCTTGCTAGCTCTGTTCCCTCCTGTTCCCCGTCTTGGGTGGTGCTTGAGGAAGGCCATGAAAGGTAGAGAAAAAACTTGGGCTTTGTCTTTGTTTGGGTTGTTTTTTGTCTTTTTCTGTTCATTTTTATAGCAAATGGTTTTACATCATTTATTTTGTATAAATCATTATAGCTCTAAGTTGCTTACATAAATTATTCTGTGTGATTGAGTTTAGTTTATGTAGCAGATGACATCCCATGGAAATCCAGTTCTGAATTTGATCTTGATTTATAGCCAAGTTTTAATAAAGAATTGCCAGAGGAGCTCAGATGTTAACTCATTCTCAATTGTGATTAAAATTAGTATCTCCAGGGGAAATTGATGACATAAGACTCCAGTCGCTTTGCTGCCAAGTAACATACCAGATTTTTTCGTTAGTACCTACGGCCTGTCTTAGACATTTAAAAATGTTTTTAGAGTATGTAGAATATTCGCTGATGAGCACATTCTCCACCAAATACATTTGTATAGCTTTAGGGAAAAAAAAAATTCTAAAGCATGATTGTGTGCGGAGTTCCACAAATGATAGAACCAGACACTGTCTACTAAAAATAGTTATGACATACCTTCCCAGTAAAAATAGAAAAGTTAATAAATGGTCAACCAAAACAATATGTGGTACCAAATGTTGAATAAAATGGGCCACGTTCTTAAAAATTCCAACAGTGATGTCATTTGTACTTGAGAAGAAATACTCGTGAAACAGCCAACACTTTTACAATCTCTCAGGAAATGTAGGGTTGTTAAAGCTCTCTTTGGCCTACGCTTTTTTGCCCTTTCTTTCTTGGAAACTTTTCCACCTAATCAAAACTCACCTCACAGAGAGAAACTGTTAGTTACTAAACCAGTATTCTATAAAAACTGTATTTTTCCCCCTGAGGTCTGTGGATCTATCTTGGGTTGAGAAAAAGTAAGATAGGAATGATAGAAAAAAAAAATTCAGTTTCCTCTAAGACAGTTTCATAAGTTCTATTTGAAGTTGTCCAAACGTTCTTGCCTTTTTTCTTTTCCAGGAGTTAACTGTGTTTTACACTAAGGATTGGTGAGCTTTTTCTATACACGATTGAATAGTAAAACTTAATTGATGTCTTCTGGGCCCTAAAGTCTAAGTCACAACTACTCGTCTCTGCCATTGAAAAAGCAGCTGTAGACACTTGTAATAAATGGGCCTGGAGATTACAGTAAATCTTCAGGGCCTGTTTGACCCAAGGCCCATAGTGTACTGACCCCTGTCCTAGACTATAAATGTGTACCATGTTTCATCAACTATAAAACAGGACTAATAAACAGGACCTGCCTCATGGGATTATGAAGGGAATTAGATAATATATGAAAAGCTCATGCAGTGGTGCCTGGCACATGGTAAGCAATTAGTGGAGCCACGATCATCACCAGCCCCAGCTTCCTCTGAATTTGCTAGTTAAGAGTGACCATCGTTTTCACAAAAAAACAGATTAGCCAATTCGTGACAGCAGAAAAACGAAATTTGAAACGGGTAATTCTACCATTGTTATTTTGAATAAACCCACTGAAAAGCTGGTGAAACCTAATTAGGGAAAAGAGAGGTGAGGGGGGTTGTTGGTAGGAGGATGGTTGGGGAGGAAAGTCCCAATTGTAAGGAGAGGCGCCCAGGCGGGAAGCAGTAGATGCTCCCTTATTCCAGAAGTCACTAGAAGGCTCGGCCTCCTCTTCTTAGAAAACTTTGGAATCTCTTCAGATCAGGTGCCTTCATCTGCCTTGGCTCTGTGACCACCTGTTTCTCAAGATCACAACCTTGACAGGGTGGTTCGACCTATTTTATCGGGTAATTTCCTTTGTGAAGACTAACCCATTAGTTCCCACCTATAGTAACTCTACCCAATAAAGACAGACTTACTCATATGTGGGCATACTTTTAAAACAGTAAATCTTGGGGTGGCGCCTGTGGCTCAAAGGAGTAGGGCGCTGGGCCCATATACCAGAGGTGGCAGGTTCAAACTCAGCTCCGGCCAAAACTGCAAAAAAAAAAAAAAAAAAAAAAGAACAGTAAATCTGTTTTCCTAGATCTATTTCTAACTTGTTTTTATAATTCTAAGGATGACTTCTCTAATAGCCTCTATTTTTCAAATGTAGAATTTTAAATTGGGAAGGGGGCTGCTTTTTACCTACTACAATGAGCTCTTACCGTGCCTAAAAGATGAATTTACCTCTCAGTTGGTGTGTTCCGAGGAAGAAGAATTTCTAGAAGAAAATAGTCTAATGGTTTATAGAGATAACTGATAAGTCACTTTTCAGTTATAAGACAATTGCTGACTTTGTGCAGTCTGCTCTATTGAATGTCCTGGTGTAATTTCCGTGCTCCCTCATCCCCAGCGATACATCTTCTCTGTATGCCATGTAAATACATAATGCTCACAGCCCGAGTTGATATGTCATTTTTAGGCTTTGTAAACAACATTTTTATGAAAGATCGTTGAGATACACCCACTAGCTTAAAAGACATTAACACACATGATTTTGACATTTCAGCATGGTCCAAATATCAGAGTAGCTTATGTCTGAGAAGAGAGATCACTAACCTTAGGTGGGCAATAGGATTTCCAGATGTTGCTCACACATGCCAGAAAGGCTGTCTTTCTTTCTAACACATAGAGACATTGTATTAAAATAATCACACATATAGAGATTTCCCTTTCCCTTACTATTTAAGGATTCAGATACTTCCTGAAAGTTTAACTAAAAAATATGGGCATCTTATTCCTGCTGCTCTCTCCAGTTTTTATTCCCCTACCCCCTTCTCTGTGAGCCCCCGTCCCCCTCCCCTGCCGTGGCTCTTGCACCTCCTGCCCCTGTGCCCAACATCCTGGTCATTTGCTCCTTGTACACTTGACATTTTAAAGAGAGAGGTAAAGTCTTGCCCATCCCCCACATCCACAGGAACAATGGGGCTGTTATTTCCATTTTTATTTATGGCTCCTAAAAGCATTCACAGATAAAATGAGATAATAAATATGAAAGCAGTTTTTAAAAGTTAAAAGTATTATAAAATAGCCACTGATACAATTTGTGGAGAGATAGAAACCCATAGTTGGAAAGTGGAATATAAGGGTCTCTTTCATGTTTAATGGGACCTTGGATTGACGGAGCAGGGACAGCCATGGGTAGAGTGGGCTTCTTTAATCATCCGAAATGATCTATATAAAAGAGCCTTTGAGAGCCTCATAAAATTTGGCCTCGGATATAGTTCATGGCCTGTTTTAACCTTTTAGTAAAGTTTTAAAATAGTTTGTAATGTTATATAATGCTGTGTAATTAGAAGTTGCATTCCTACTACAAATGGTGTCTTTGAGCCGTAGGAGATGCTAAATTAATCATCTTTTAGGATGTTGAGGACATGTGTATTGGGGGGAGATGGATAAGGATGTTTTTTTAGCGTATGCCAGAGGACTAAAATACCTTTCAAGCACATGTGTCCACAAAGTTTGTTTAAAAGCTGAAAAGTGAATATTACAGCTTCAGTGTTCAAAATGTAAGCTTCCAGAGCTTAAGCTCATCTGTTCGAAACACACAGTATCGCCCAGAAGCTGTAGCTGAATGGGGATTAGAAGGGCGATCTCCAGCCCCCGCTCTGTGTTTATCAGTCTGTGTGGTCTCTTTGTTTAGTGATTGTACAGACAGCGTCAGGGTGGGGAGAAGAGAGAAGAGTGTTCGCACACCATGTGACTCGAAACACACGGAAGGCTCCTCTGCACCTTGCTGTAGCTTAGGGAAGAGGCTGCTCTTGGCCCGGGGGTGATCCAATTAACTAGAAGGAGGACTGTCTTATTTTGGGAATCAAGGCTTCCCCTGGCTCTGTGCAGAATGAAAAGAAGAAACCTAGTAACGAGGCCTGGAGAGTCTGTGCAGTGATTTCACCACGTACTCTGCCTAGACGCTTAGCTCTTACGCTGGGAGGTATCTATGAGTTGGATAAAATGGAATCTGAGTTGGCTTTTGTCCTGGGACACCCCCACCTGGAGGATGACGCTGTGGAGTGTGGAGGTGGTTCTGATGAAGCGTGGCGTCCTGTTGATCCTGCCAGAGATAGCATCGTGTGGTGAGGGAAGGACAACTTGTGTCTCTGCTGCTCTTTCCTAATAAACCGTAACACAGGGCTTTGGGGCAGTCCTTGGGCCAGCCGTAACTGCTTAGGACACTACAGGACAGAGGTTTGGACCAAGACAGAGGGCTGCTGAGACGGGCATAGCTGTACATTTGATCGCCTTTATATTTGCTGACATCTCCCTTCCATACTTTCCCTCCAGTTTAAATGATGTTTGTTGCCCTGACGTCTTTTACAAGATTCATTGAAAGTTTCTTTAAATAACCGAGGGGGAAACTGCCTTCAGTGCTG